AGTGGGACTTTCAGTGTAAGTTTTATTTGCTGTTTTTTTTTTTTAAACTTTTTATAGCAAAAACTATATTTATCAGACCTTAACCGTAATCCACATCATGTGACTATTATTACTGAGTTTTGCAGGCAAGTTTATAGCTATGATTGTATGCTCTGTCTACATGAGGGTAGCTACTATCCCCTTTGACGCATGTTTGACTATGACTTATTAGTCTTATTAGTCCCAATGTCACTTGTCCGGACCTGCTATCAACACTTTTTTTCCTTGCCTTGTATATATTTCTCTGCCTTATTTCCGCCTTCTGTTCACTCTAACTTTACTCTTGTTTTCAGTTCTGAGTTTTAATTCTTTCAGCTGTGCTATCATTATTGGCAGTGCTCAGGCTGACTATATGTGCCTCTCTAACAGTGCTTTTTTAATAAAGAGAATTAAAAGTGAAATTAATTTGAATCAAAAATTTAAGTCTAGAGTAGCCTACCTGAAAGCATAGTTGATTGAGAAAATTTATTTATTTATTATTGAGAAAAATCTGTTCATTTGTTTTCTTGTTAACTTTCCAGCCTACATGACTATGCTTCTGGGATTAGCACTAGCCTTCCATCTGTAACTGTGTCATGAGTCTAGTAGGTTGTTTTAGCTTATTTCCTAACATACATTAGCATTATACATTACCATTTTCCTTATTCAACTGTGAAAGAGATAATGTGCAATCGCATCATATCACATACTTATTTTAGGAGTGCAGAATGACCTAGAGAGGCGTAACTAGAAACCACCGGGCCCCGGTGCTAAAATTGCCCTGGGCAGCCCATGTGTCTCATTCCCTCTCCCCCAGTCCCCCATTTGTCTCATTTCCTCCTCCTAGCCCCTCCATTTGTCTAATCCCCCCCCCAGCCCCACCATGTATCTCAGCCTCCCATCCCCTCCATGTATCTCATCATGTATCTCATCCCCACCAAGCGTCTGATTTCCTCCAACTCAGCAATTCTATGTGTCTCATTCCCTCCCCGCAAAACCTCTCCATGTGTCTCATCCCCCCCAAGCCCCTTCATGTGTCCCATTTCTTTTATAAGTCCCTCCATGTTTCTCAACCCCCCAAGCAAGCCCCATTCCCAGCCCGCCTGCCCCTGCATGTATCTCTCCTCCCTCCTGTCCTGTACCTGCTTAATGTGGCACACGTTCTGGTCTGGCAGGAAGTGCTCTGTCAGTGAGCACTTCCTGTAAGACCGAGTTTTTCGGGCCGCACTACACACAGCAGCAGGAGAGGAGCAGCAGAGTACAGTGCTCTCCTCCTACTGGTCACCCTGCGACCGCGGTCCCCAAGCTGGTGCAGCAGTGCACCAGCCCCTTAAGACATGCCCGCAGCCCACAGTCGCAGGAGTTGAGGGTGGCCGGGCCCCATGAAGTGACAAACCTGGTTGCTGTTGTGAACCCTGTGAACTGTGGTTGGTACGTCACTGCCTAAAGATGTTGTGTTACAAAGTCCTTGCAGAATAGTTAATATTTTATTTTAATGTGATGGTGACAAACATATTTTGCATTGAATCTTGTGTTTTTATAACTCTCTGTTGTGTATCCCATTTTTTAAAACAATAAAACCTTATACAACTTCCTTTAAGCAAGGTAATTGACCAATTTTATTTATCTTTTTTGTCACACCTACTGAATGTGGAAAAACAAATTATTTTTCTATTTATATTTACATTTCAGACACTGTGAAATATTGCAATATAAATGATACTGTATTCTGTCTGCTTTTAAATTTCCCAACATTTTTTTTAAGAGGCAGAGACAATAAGTGAAAAATAACAATTGTGTCATTTTACATGAGTTTAATTTTTAAGTTTTTCTGCAAAGCAATTAATACACAAAATTGCAAAAATGTTTGCAAGAAAACAAACCAAAAAAAACCCCAAACAAACCCAACACTTAGATGTTTAGTTACAAAGCCAAGGAACAGAAAGAATTGACAAGTACTTTGTGAATCTTAGGCCAATGTAACCAAACAGGAATAAAAAAAAAGATGGGTTGGTAAATTTCTGCAATTTGTTTTTAGCTAAAAATTTACACTCCTCTCACCATTCCTGCTTTAATGAATAAAAAAAACATACAAATGAAAAACCCTCTTTCATACCTGATCTATATAGAAATGTATTTCCCAATTATAATTTTGTCTTGTGTTAACCATTTGTCAGTTTAGAGCTCTATGCCCCTTGTAATTCAAAGGATTAATTAATATAATAGAATAATTTGTTGACAAAACAAAACCCAATGCAATTATCTATTTTTAAAGAATGAGCAAGGGGAACAAATAATGAATATCTATTCTAAGCATTTCTATTAGAATATGAAGTCCTAAAATATAACAGACATTATATTTTCTGATCCAATGATAAGTTCACAAATGAAATTACACACCAAGGAGCGAAACTATAGAAACATATGCTGAAACTGTATTCTCTGTGCATTACCTGTATATAAACTTTTCAAAACCTAGTATGCTATAATTAAAGGATAGTTAATGCAGTCAGGTCTGACAAAGCTCTCTTGGGTAATTTATTTCTCCATAAAGTGACAATAATAATAGTAACAAATAATGAAGTAAGACACGCACTAGATGTGACTAATTCATTGGAGACCATAGATGTTACCAAACGACACAGTATTACTGTTTGATTGCATAAGTCTTAATTAGATAGAAAATAATAAACAAACATTGAAAATGATTACAGTTTCTGCAACTGCTTAACAAATATTACAGAAAATTGATGACAGATTGCAAATACTGCCCAGAATAGGAAAATGACTTTGCTAATTATATTTATATCAAATTAAGGATGCATCATATAGTTTGCATGTACCAAATATAATATGCAATTAAAATACAAATGCAAAACTTGCATCATAATTAGGATTGTTGTTTGTCAGATTTGTAACAGGAACACTTTAATGACCATAACCACTTCAGCGTGTTCCCCATTGTAGTCAACTAGTCAAGGTTTGTAGAATAAGTTAATTTCTTACCTGGATTTTACCAGGCACTAGGCCCCAACCACCTCAATATCACCAAGAAAGCAACAAGCTCCTACTTTGGAGCTTCCATTAGCTCTTCTGAGTTAAGCTCTGCAGTGCATAGCTAGCTCATTGGCTGTGAGTAACTTACCTCTGACAAAAAGCCTCTGTCTCTCTGGCAATGGAAGTGGAGACATGGAAAGGTGCCTTGTGGACCCCAGGTAAGAAGTCAAAACATTCTAAAATCGTTTGACTACTTACAACGAGGGTTGCTAGGGCACTCCTGGCACCATAACCACTACAATTCTATGTAGTAGTTATAGTTTTTGGAGTGCACCTTTTATCCTGACAGAGCACGAGCTTCTGGGAGGGTTTCGTTATCGCATTCCGGGACAGGGAGGCTACGTAGAGTTATCATAATCTTAAGTCGGTGGGGGATTTTCCGGACGTGGTTTGGGAAAAACTGTGTAAGGAGTTCCATCTGGGTAGGATGGCTGGGCCATTTGGGGTTGCCCCGTTGTCCATCCTGCGGCTGTCGCCCTTGGGGATGGTCCCCAAAAGGAGGCTGGGAAGTACTGCCTTACCTATCACTTATCTCACCCTGAGGGGCGTCCGTCAACGATGACATTGCTAGGGAGCTATGCTCGGTCTCTTATGCTTCATTTGACCAGGCAGTCGAGTTGGTTAATAGGGTTGGGCGGGTGGATACAGAAGCGGCGTTTTGGTTGTTACCCGTTCACGTGGCGAGCCATCACATGCTGGGTTGTTTCTTCAAGGGGCAATTCTTTGTTGACCTTTGCCTTCCCATAGGTTGTTCCATTTCTTGCTCGCACTTTGAAAAGTTCCCTTTGTTTCTGGAATGACTGGTGAAGCGGGAATCCGGGAGTTGGGCGGTGGTACACTACCTGGACAACTTGCTGGGTGTGGTCCCAGTGGATTCCCCAACTTGACACTACTTAATGAGGACAATCAAGTGGATGGCTAGCACATTTGGAGTGCCACTGGAAAAAACAGAGGGCCCGACCACGTGTTTAAGTTTCCTTTCGCTGGAAATTGACTCCCAGCAGGGGGAGTGCCGTCTTCCCATGGCAAAACTTGTGGGGCTTCGGGAATCAGTGGTGAGGCTTCAGGAGGCAGTGGCAACGGTCTGTGATCGCAGAAGGTCACATTGAAGGAGCTGCAATCACTTATCGGAAAGCTCAATTTTGCTTGTCGTGTCGTTCTCATGGGTGACGGATATTCAGTTGGAGCCTTTCCAGGGCTACGGCGGGGGTGCGACTGCCCCACCACTTCGTGAGGGTGTCCTCATCCATGAGGGCTGACCTGGGAGTAGGGGCCACATTCCTGGAGCACTTCAATGGCACAGTGTTCTTTCAATGGGAGGCAGTGTCGGCTGCTGAGCTGGAGCTGTATACAGATGCCTCTGGCAGCGTGGGTTTCAGGGCGTACTTCGGGGGGTGGTGGTGCATGGTGCCCTGGCCTAAAGCCTGGCTAGCTAGCCCGCTGGTGCAGAATCTGGCTTTCTTGGAACTGTTCCTGCTGGTGGTCGCCTTGTCACTTTGGTGTGCCCTCCTGAGCTATAGGAAGGTGGTGTTCTATACGGATAATGTAACAGACCGTTTTGCACACAAAAGGTTAAAAACCGTTTAGGCGATATTCCCCTTTTCAGATGCACAGACAGCTACTGTAATCACCAATCTCCTGAACTGCAAACACATGAATTCACCAATCTCCCGAACTGGAACCAGGGGAATGCTCCAAACTCCCAAACAGGAAACACACGAATGCTGTAAACAGCAGAACAGGAAAAACCATACGAACAGTTTACACTCCTGGCAGTCGCACTGTGACAGCATACAATCCAATTCCCCTCAAGAATGAGACG